CCATGTCCGCGCCGATGCGAAGGCGGGCCCGCTGGTCGCCGGCAGCTTTAACTTCGAAGCACTTGCATTGGCCAGGGGCGATGCGCTGGGCTCCAAGGATCTGAGTGGCGCGGCGGGCAGCAGGGCCCGCAGCGCCAGTGAACTGGACGGCGAACTGCCCCTGGGCGGGCTCGACCGAGGGAATGGCGAAGAACTTCGCGTCGACGCCGCGCTCGACCATCCAGCGTGCAAGGACCTGTCTGACAGCGTCGAGCTCCACGCGCTAAGAAGCCATGGCCCTGATGATCGTCGCGGCAACCTCCCTGTCGATGCCTGCGGCACAGGCGGGAACAGGCTTTGGCAAGGGCAAAGACACCACGAAGCTGTTGAATATGTTCATGGAGGGTCTGCAAGGCAATCTCGCGTTCGTCCAAACGGCTTGGCTTACGCGCGCGCGGACCTTCATCGAGTGGCCGCCGAGCTGCTTCTTGAACTTCCGCTGGTATGCATCAAGCTTGTCGGTGCAAAATCGCCCAGTGGTTTCGCGTGCCATATGCGGGGGCTGGTGAACACCTCCAGCCACTTTGCCAGCGGCAGCATGGTCAGCAAGCTGAGATGCAACATCCGTGGCCTGGTCAGGCACGGTCGCGGAGACGACGGCGGTGAGATCGCGGGCGAGCTCGTCGCGGTGCTCCGCCATCTTCTCCAAGATGAAGCCCCTGGCGAGCTGCTTGATGTGGTCGTCTTTGGCCCGCTCCTCGCCGCCGTCAACCATCTCGGCCTCGGCAGCAGAAGGGTCGCCGTCAGCGGGGGCAGCGCCAGATTCACCGGGGGCTGCGCCATCGACGGCGGCGCCTGCCCCATCGCGAGCGCCATCGCGATTCGCACGTCGCTTGAGCTTCTTTTTGGCCCGCGTTCCAATGGCTGGAGCATCGGCGGGCGCGCGGCGGGCGCGCGCGGCAGCTCTGCGCTCTAGGGGGGCGCGCGTCGCTGGAGCCGAAAGCGGGCAGCAACTGCCCTCGGGTCAGAGGTCTCTACTCTGACCCGAGGGGCACGGCGTCTTGAGCCAAAAACGGCCACGGAGGAAGGGGGAAGAGGAGGGGGGGGAGGAGCGGGGGGGGAAGGGGGGACGAGGAGGAGGAGAAGGAGGAGGACGAGGACGAGGAGGAGGATGAGGAGGAGGAGGAGGAGGGGGCGGAGGAGGAAAGGGGCCCAGCGTAGGCACATGAGTTCGCCAGCAACTCACGCCCCGCAAGTAGGGGAAGACCGCGGGTCTCCGTCAAACTGATCTCAGAGGCAAACAGCGAGGCAACATCAACGAGGCAGACGGGCGAGTGGTCAATCGGCCGCTCAGTCAGGATGGGCGAATCGCTGGAGGTTCTAATTGGATTAGTGGGATGCTTGGCAGCGCGTAGTGCCAGCCGACGGTTACGAGGCGACCAGATAGCCGAGCGGCGCTCGACTGCAACAAGTTGGCGCCGGGGGGCCTGAGGGGGTCGCGGTCGCGCGAAGCGATCTTCAGGGCGCGCTCGTATCCCACCAGCGTGACGACGTCGCATGCTGTCACGCCAGTGCTGAAATGGTGCAGCGTGGCGAAGAGCAACCCTGTTGTCGCGGATCTCTAAGAAGTCGCCAGCCGCGGCGCGATTGCTGAGTAGCTTTCCAATGAGTTTGATGCCATTCCCCCAAGCAGCGCGAGACACTTGCCGAGCGAGAAGTAGAAACGTAGCGTTCGATTCAAGAGCCTGTTGAAATAGACGATCACTAAAATCAGCAGCTGCCTTTCGTATCTCCCATGTGTGAAGCTCGATCTGCCTCGGGGGACTCCTGTCGACATAGTTCAGCTGTTGGCAAACAAGCTTGACTTGCTGCTGGTAAGCTTCAGGCTCGAATAAATTGCGCGGAATGCAATGTGGGCGGGAAGGTGTGGTGACTCTCTGGGCAAGGCGAACAGGTGTGCGGCGTGGTCGCTGGCATATCGATCAGCATGCCCTTCAAGACATCCAGTGGCCACAAGCTCCGAAGCACGTTGCGTCAACACCCAACCAGGCCAGCTGACATTCTGCCCACGATAGATACCAACTGAGTGCGCCTGTCGTAGCGCGTGGGCTCGCCCGAGGAGATCTCCGCGTGGAGTCGTAGAGCGTGAGCCCAGCGGGCCGCGCGCACATGCCGGCTTTTACCTTCAGCAAAGAGACGACGAGGCTGGTGAAGTAGGAGAGGAGGCTTAGAAACGATATTCATATCGCCGTGAACTACCACCACGTTGCGAAGCGGATCTGCTTGCGCCACGTGCATGTCAGCTGCCAAATTTTTCGAAGCCGAAATGAACTGTGCGATCGCGAGGTCATGTTTGCGCGCAGTTATCATCATACCTACCGGTGTGATCTCGCACTGCTTTATTTCGACCGACCGTGTGCCCATAATGCGGTCGTGCTGGTGGTTGTGCTGGGCTGGCGGCCGTGCTGGTGGTCGTGGTTGGTGGACGTGCTGGTGGTCGTGCTGCTGGTCGTGCTGCTGGCCGTTCTGGTGGAGGTGCTGGCAGTCGTGCTGGTGGTCGTGCTGGTACTTGTGCTGGTGGTCGTGCTGGGGAGGTGCTGGTGGTCGAGCTGGTGGTCGTGCTGCTGGCTGGTCGTGCTGGTGGTCGCGCTGGTGGTCGTGCTGGTGGTCGTGCTGGGCTGGTGGTCGTGCTGGTGGTCGTGCTGGCGGTTGTGCTGGTGGTCGCGCTGGTGGCTGGTCGCGTTGGTGGTTGTGCTGGTGGTCGTGCTGGCGGTCGTGCTGGTGGCCGTTCTGGTGGAGGTGCTGGTGATCGTGCTGGTGGTCGTGCTGGTGGTCGTGCTGGTGGTCGTGCTGGTGGTTGTGCTGGTGGTCGTGCTGGCTGGCGGTCGTGTTGGTGGCCGTTCTGGTGGAGGTGCTGGTGGTCGTGCTGGTGGTCGTGTTGGTGGTTCTGCTGGTGGTCGTGCTGGTGGCTGGCCGTGCTGGAGGTGCTGGTGGTCGTGTTGGTGGTCGTGCTGGTGGTCGTGCTCGCGGTCGTGTTGCTGGCCGTTCTGGTGGAGGTGCTGGTGGTCGTGCTGGTGGTCGTGCTGGCCCCTCCCCCTCCCCCCCTGCGCCCCCCTCCCCTTATTCCGACCGACCGTGGGCCACCCCCCCCGCTTCTCCCCTGCGCCCCCTTCCCATTATTCCGACCGACCGTGGGCCACCCCCCCCGCTCCCTCTTCCCATTCCGACCGACCCGACCACCCCGTGGGCTCATTCGACCGACCGTGGGCCCGCTCCCCCTTGACCGACCGTGGGCCACCTCCCCTTATTCCGACCGACCGTGGGCCACCCCCTCCGCTCCCCCCTTGCGCCCCCCTCCGCTTATTCCGACCGACCGTGGGCCCCCCCCGCTCCCCCCTTGCGCCCCCCGTCCCCTTATTCCGACCGACCGTGGGCCACCCGCCCCCGCTCCTCCCTGCGCCCCCTCCCATTATTCCGACCGACCGTGGCCCCCCCACCCGCTCCCCCCCTGCGCCCCCCTCCCCCTTATTCCGACCGACCCCACCCCCCTGCCCCCCCCCCTGCGCCCCCTTCCCTTATTCCGACCGACCGTGCCCCCCCCCCCGCTTCCCCCCTATTCCGACCCGTGCCCTCCCCCCCTTCTCCTTATTCCGACCGACCCGCGGGGCCCTTCCTCCGCTCCCCCCCTGCGCCCCTCCCTTTATTCCGACCGACCGTGGTCCCCCCCCTTCCCCCCTGCCCCCTCTCCATTTCCGACCGACCGTGCCCCCCCCCCCGCTCCCCCCCCGCTCCCCCCCGCGCCCCCCCCCCTTATTCCGACCGACCGTGGGCCCTTCCTCCGCTCCCCCCGTTGCGCCTCGTGGGAGCCGTTTGGGCCCATCCAGGGCCGTCTTGGGTGCATTTTGGGCCGTCTTGGAGGCATTTTGGTGCCATGTTGGCCGTCTTGGAAGCCATCTTGGAGGTACTTGGACGCCATCTTGGCCGTTTTGGAGGCAATCTTAGCCATCTTGGAGGCCTCTTGGCCCGTGTTGAGGCCCCTCTTGGGACCGTCTTGGAGGCCTCTTGGGCCGTCATGGGGCCATCTTGGGGGCCTCTTGGGCAATTTTGGGGCGATCTTGGGGGCCTCTTGGGCCGTCTTGGACCGTCGGAAAGCCGAAAAGGCGCAAATGACCAAATCCTTCCCAAACCCAAAGAAAATCAATGATTTTGGCCTCTTCGGGCCCTCCTAGACGACCTCTTGAAGGCCTCTTGGGCTGTCTTGGAGGCCTCTTTGGAGCCTCTTGGACCGTCTTGGGCCTCTGGGACCCTTCCGAGGCGACCCCGGCGGACAGGCCAGGCGGCCGGGAAGCTCGCCGCCGCCCGCCGCTCGGTGAGCGAGCCTCGGGCCCGAGGCGAGGATGAGTGGCCTGGGCCAGCCTCGGGTCGGAGGCGAGGACGGTGAGGCGGAGGAGGAAGCGGAGGGGGAGGGGGAGGAGGCGGAGGTGGAGGGGGAGGAGGAGGACGAGAAGGAGGAGGACGAGGACGCAGCGCGCCCGGCCGCATGCCGACGGCGAGGGCGACTCCGCCGCCACGCGCCGCACCGCCCCAGAAGGTGGAGAGAGGGGGAGGACAAGGAGGAGGTCGAGAACCAGGAGGAGGAAGAGAGGCGGGACAGGAGAAAGTGGAGGTGAGGAGGGGGAGAAGGAGGACGAGACAGAGGACAAGCGACCTTCCTCCATACCCAAACTGACATGCTTCTAGCCGCCCCTTCCCGTCTTCGAATCTGTCCCTTGCCAGCGTGTCGCAGCAATTGCGGCGCGCTTCCCGGCGCCTGCCAAGGACTGCCTCCCTCGCGATCCCTGGTTTTCTCCATCTCCCATGGGCCCACATCGTCATTGTATGATCCTTGGCACGCGTGCCCCTTGAATGGAAGATGCGAAAGCCATCTAGTTGCAGCACTACTCGTATCACTCGACCATGAACCAGAGACCGATGAGAAACCTCAGCGCGACAACCCGAAGGAATAATAGTAGCTACTCCACCTTTGACTGCAGACCCCTCGCGGCAGCTGGCGGCGAGACGCGCGGCAGGAGCCGCCTTGGAGAGAACGCCCGACAACTGCTCCTCGTCCTGGTGCACCTCCTGGAGGGCAACAACACCACGGGTGAAGTCCAGGCGCTTGAGGTGGGCTAGCTTTGGCTTCGCGCGTGCACCTTGGTACTGCAGTAGCGCCCTGGCGTTCCACGACGCGAAAGAAAAAGCGGGCGTGCCAGGCGCGCGCCCGTCAATAGCATTCGCGAAGCCGTTGAAGGCCCCACCCGGCGCCCTCGCGAGGCGCCGCGCTCGACTTTGGCAGCGGCGGCCAGACGTTCTTTAGGAAGGCCAAGTTTCTGACAGACCGCGTCAGCCCACGCGATGTCCGACGCGATGTTCCCAGGGTTGGGCGAAAGACGGAGCGCTGGTCTTATCCTGCCATATGCACCCGAGGTCGCGATCAAAGACCCACCTCTTGTCGCTGGCGGTCTCGCGGAAGGCCTCGCGGAGCTTGCGGCCCTGGATCTCGAGCTTGACCTGCCTCGGGTCCATGTCCGCGCCGATGCGAAGGTGGGCCCGCTGGTCGCCGGCAGCTTTAACTTCGAAGCACTTGCATTGGCCAGGGGCGATGCGCTGGGCTCCAAGGATCTGAGTGGCGCGGCGGGCAGCAGGGCCCGCAGCGCCAGTGAACTGGACGGCGAACTGCCCCTGGGCGGGCTCGACCGAGGGAATGGCGAAGAACTTCGCGTCGACGCCGCGCTCGACCATCCAGCGTGCAAGGACCTGTTTGACAGCGTCGAGCTCCACGCGCTAAGAAGCCATGGCCCTGATGATCGTCGCGGCAACCTCCCTGTCGATGCCTGCGGCACAGGCGGGAACAGGCTTTGGCAAGGGCAAAGACACCACGAAGCTGTTGAATATGTTCATGGAGGGTCTGCAAGGCAATCTCGCGTTCGTCCAAACGGCTTGGCTTACGCGCGCGCGGACCTTCATCGAGTGGCCGCCGAGCTGCTTCTTGAACTTCCGCTGGTATGCATCAAGCTTGTCGGTGCAAAATCGCCCAGTGGTTTCGCGTGCCATATGCGGGGGCTGGTGAACACCTCCAGCCACTTTGCCAGCGGCAGCATGGTCAGCAAGCTGAGATGCAACATCCGTGGCCTGGTCAGGCACGGTCGCGGAGACGACGGCGGTGAGATCGCGGGCGAGCTCGTCGCGGTGCTCCGCCATCTTCTCCAAGATGAAGCCCCTGGCGAGCTGCTTGATGTGGTCGTCTTTGGCCCGCTCCTCGCCGCCGTCAACCACCTCGGCCTCGGCAGCAGAAGGGTCGCCGTCAGCGGGGGCAGCGCCAGATTCACCGGGGGCTGCGCCATCGACGGCGGCGCCTGCCCCATCGCGAGCGCCATCGCGATTCGCACGTCGCTTGAGCTTCTTTTTGGCCCGCGTTCCAATGGCTGGAGCATCGGCGGGCGCGCGGCGGGCGCGCGCGGCAGCTCTGCGCTCTAGGGGGGCGCGCGTCGCTGGAGCTGAAAGCGGGCAGCAACTGCCCTCGGGTCAGAGGTCTCTACTCTGGCCCGAGGGGCACGGCGTCTTGAGCCAAAAACGGCCACGGAGGAAGGGGGAAGAGGAGGGGGGGGAGGAGCGGGGGGGGAAGGGGGGGCGAGGAGGAGGAGAAGGAGGAGGACGAGGGCGAGGAGGAGGATGAGGAGGAGGAGGAGGAGGGGGCGGAGGAGGAAAGGGGCCCAGCGTAGGCACATGAGTTCGCCAGCAACTCACGCCCCGCAAGTAGGGGAAGACCGCGGGTCTCCGTCAAACCTGATCTCAGAGGCAAGCGGCGAGGCAACATCAACGAGGCAGACGGGCGATGGGGCAACAAAAACGGGGGGGGAAGGGGGGGGGCGGCAGGGGGCAGCAGCGCGGAGGGCTCGAGGGACGAAGCGGACGGGGGTGGGAGGAGAGCGGCGGCAGGTGCGGCCGCGTGCGCAGAGAGCGCGGGCGCCTGGAAATCCGTGTCCACGCCGCGGGGGGCCGCATTATATCCTGTTTCAGTCATGCGGAAGCTGAGCGGGGGAGAAGGGGGATAGGCCGACCGGCCCAGAGAAGAAGGCGGCAGGGTCATACTTTCATCACGCGGGCGCCCATAGGCTCTCGGCGAGGACGGAGAGCACCAGGAACTCGACAGTCGAGTCAACAATGACGGCGAATGCAGAGACATCCACGTCGACGCAATTGAGGAAGGCGAAGCTGGGGCAATGCTTGATCGTGAGGGCACGGCTTGCCCTGGCCATGTCGCACTCAGTGGGGCCTCATCACCGCCCCCGGCGCCCTCGGCAGGGGCGGCCGCCTCGGTCGGCGGCGCGGCGCAACCAGAAGAATAAACCAACGCAGGAGTGCGCCCGGGCCGGGGCGAGGGGGACCGCGACCGAGAACCACGCGGCTTCGAAGTGCAGGGCCCCGACGCATCGCCAGACGCCGAGCTGACCAGCGGCGCGAGGCGCGTGGGCGAGGCGGCGGGGGCCGAGAGCGTGGAGCCAGAAGAGCACGCGGCACAAGAGGCCGAAGAGGTCGAAGAAGACGAAGAAGCCGCAGAAGACAATGCAGGCGAGGAACGGCGCGCAGGACGGGGCCGCGGCCCCAGGAGAGCCCGCTCGTCCTCGCTCAGCCAGCGGGGCGTGGCCATCCGCATCGAGCGCGCGCCCGCAAGGGCAGCGCTGCGGATCACCGACAGAGATAGGGGCCACTCAGCGGAGCGGCGCGACACATTGCACATCGCCTGTGCGGCTGCCATGAACGAGAAAGCGAGCGTCGATGGTTGCCGCGACCGCGCTTCCCCATCGGGTCGCGGGGGCGAGGCCGCCCTGGAGCTTCCCCAAGCGCACCGCGCAGCCGAGGGCAACGAAGACAATGGGCAAGCGCACCCCGCCAAGCGAGACAACCATGCGCAGAGCAGCTCCGCCCACACGGGCGAATGATTCTCGGCGAGGCGAGCCGGCCGCCACACCGCGCGCGCAATGCCGCCTACGCCCGCGAACAAGGGCAGCTTGAGGAGGAGAACGACGTCGCCCCACTCGACCTCCTCGAGCAGCTCAAGCCTCGCACCTGCGAGCTTGCGTCGTCTATAGATGCGCCGCGGGTGAACCCGCGGAGAGCTGCGCGGATCGCGCGAGCGCGCGTCGCCAGATGCGCCGCGCGCTGGGGGCGAGGGCGGGCGCTGGGGCCAGGGGCCAGGGCATCCAGCGCAGCGGGGCGCCCGCGCGCCAGGAGGCCCGCCCGAGGGCAAGGGGGCGCGGGCCCAGCGACCGCGGCGCGCAGATTCTCCACCGGCGCAGGCGAGCGCCAGTGGGTCGGGTAGCAGCGCCCCGAGCTGAGCATCAGCAGCGACTGCTCAGGGGCGCGGGCCTCCGCGCGCGCCTGCAGCGGCAGCGCCGCGCCCAGATTCGGCCGACGCACCGCGCGGGGCCCGCTCCAGAGCTCGAGCTCGGACCACGCCTCGGCCGCGAAGGTGCCGAGCGCCACCCGAAACACCTGGGCGAGAACGCCGAGCTCCATGCGCGGGGCATCCGGAGGCAGCCAAACAAATGGTGCTGTATGAGAGAGGGTGGTTACAATTCTCGAGTTGTAAACGCCCGCGGACATCGAAGCGGGCGCGAGGCCGATGCTGAGAGAGCGGGCGCGGAGACGGGGCTCGGTGACAGGGCCCCTCCAAAGCCTGCCCAAGTCAACCGCGGGGCCAAGCCAGACACCCAAATGCAGGAGAGACTCCGCGATCTCGAAAGAGGCCCAGGCGGGGGCGACGAACTCGACAACGGCAAGAAGGCGCTGCTGGAGGCTCTCACTGAAGGCTTCCGAAAGCGGGGCCAACTTGCACGGCGGGGCTTTGAGCGCCGGGTTCGCGAATCGATCGGCTCGCGACATCACGTCGAAGACCGCCATCAGATGCTGCGCGCTAAGTAGAGCCCCCTAAAATCATCAGCGCACGCGCGGATGACCCCGCGCCCCGACGAATCGACGCGGAGGGCCAGGTCGACCAGGAAGGGCGAGGAAGCCCAAGCAAGGGGCGCGCCCGAGAGCACGCAACCCTGTACGATGCCACTGCGAACCCCATACAAGTGAATATTATCACCAGCCGCTGCGACCATTCCCCCGATGGCCGAGTAGAGGAAGGACGCGAACATCAGGAAGGCGGAGGGCAACTGGAGCGAGGTGAGAACGAGCACGAGGAAGTCCTGGTTCAGGGAGGGGAACGCGTGCCCGAAGTCCAGGGAGAAGAGGATCGGGATGTCCAGGGGCCCCGACGGTAAGAGAGAAGGCCCCCTGCTGGCGGCGTCGAGCTCCACGGCGTTGAAGTCAAATTCCCCCCGGGAACGAAGCCGCGCTGACGGGCAGGAACCGCGCGACCTAGAACAGGGCGTACTAACATAGTCATAGTAGCTGATAGGACGTTGACATCGCAATTTCGGAGACCCAAGACGCGAACCTCATTGGGGGAACGGGAGCACGAGCCACTCTGCAGCTCATCGTCGTCGATTTTCTTCGGGGGGAACGCCTGGATCGCCGTGCTAGCCGCATCGAAGAAAGACGAGCCCGCGGAGACCCACTCGAGACAAGCCCGCATGACCTCGAGGCCAGAAGGGTCAGCCTGCCAGGCTGCGCAGGGGAGCCCATCATCACGTGTCGCCGAATGCCGAGCACGGGCCAGGACCGCCTTCATTATCCTGAACGCGGGGGGCGGAAGGTCGAGGTCGCCGACGGGGGGGGGGGGGGGGGGGCATCTCGCAGATGCAGGGCTCAGCGGAGGACTCGCCCCAAGGCTTCCTCGAGAACACAAGGGCCCATAATTTTTGTGGACAGGCGAGCCGGTCACTGGGTGCGGCAGCAGGCGGAGACCCACCCACGCCAGAGACAGCAGTAAGAGAAACTCTACGATTGAGAGGGGGCCAATCCGCGCACGCCGCTCCAGCGCTCTCAACCGGGCCCTGAGCTGCCCCGAGCCCCCCCCTCGCACCCCGCCCGCTTGCGAAGCTCAGAACGGGGCGCCTACACCGCCTCGCATTGCACGCGGTCGGACCAGGCAAAGAACGATTCAGGATGCCGCAACTGAACCACTCCACTCACGCACTCCAGGAGGTCAGTCGCCACCGGGTGAGAACGAATCAACTTCTCGGCAAGCTGGATGTCCAGCCCCCAGATACAGCGAGCAATCGAGCGGGCGAGCTGCAGAAGCGCGCGCGGGTGATGGGGGTGGGCGAAAGGAGACGATCACGAGTTTCGCTCGCAGCAATGCGGGCCAGCTCCTTGTGGCGTTCGAGACGGCGGGGGGGGGGGGGGGGGGGGGGGGGCGGAGCACGTCGGCGCAGTCGATCAAAGCCCGAGGGCGACGACGGCAAAAAGGATCCTGGAACACGCGTCAATCGACTGGCTGGCTGTCCTTTGGGCGAGGGCGCCTCGGGCAGAGAGCGAGAACCACTGCAGCGTGATCAGAGACCAGGCTACCTGAGACGTCGGCCGCACTGACCATGGCATTAACTTGCACGTAAAGCTGGCAGAGGATCCACCAAAGGCAAGACAGAAAGAGGCGATCGATGCACGACTCAGAGTTTTTTTTAATAGTGGGCGGGCGAGGCACACCCCACCTCGGTGAGCTCGGCGAGCGCGAGGCGCCAGGTGGCATCCCGCGCGTGGTGCCACCGAGCCGCGCGCCGCACGGCTGCCTGCGGCATGCGCAGGACCGCCGCCTCCTCCGTCGCGAAGTTGAAGCCCCAGTCGACGATGGCGGGCCTCTGGGCGGGGTCGAGAGCCGCAAACTCCCTGGCGCCGCGGATGACCCGCACCACTTCAGAGACCTGCTCGGCCGTGAGCTCGCGGTCGTGGGTATAGAAAATGTCCAGCTGCGCGCCGGCGGCCTCAACCAGCGCGCAGATGACCCGCCCCGCAACGAGAGAGACAGCACGGCTTTGAACAGGATGAAACCCCAGAACACCGAGAGCTGGAAGGAAAACCGCAACGCCCCCACGCACCCGCTCCTCAGGTGCGTCACCACAAAATGAGGCGTGGACTGTGGCTGAAGGGTCGACACTCCGAACGAATTAGCGAAGCTGCCCAGCATCTTGTCGACCTTCCTGAAAGGACACCATACTCTTGCCGATGTCGAGCTTCTCCAAGTACCTCCTCTTGATTGCGGCTTTGGCCTCGGCCGCCTGCAAGAGAGCCCTCGCATTCCATGTCGCTACACGTTGTGGGGGAATGAAACCACCAGGCACAGGAGCAGGGCATTTGAAGAGCCTCCCCACGTCAAAGACACAACTGAAGCTCGGCTTGCGGCGCCACGAGGTGGCGGGTGAGCTGCGCGAGGTCACCCGTGCGCAAGTTGTACTTCTGCTGCGCGGCCGGGCCCCACATGATGGTCGCAGGCGCAGCACCCGCCGCCACCTCGACGCGAAGGACCTGGTCCCATCCGGCTGTGAAGGTGCCTCGGTCGCGATCACTGTAGAGACGGAGGCTGGGATCGGCATCGGCGATGGCCGATCGGCATCGGCGGAGCAGCATCTCGGTCTTGATCTGTCGGGGGTTCTTGTCGGGCCCCACGTACATTCGCGCACAAACAGCGCCTGGGACGTCCACGTGGAACATCTTCCTGACGCCGTCAACACGAAGACGAGACAGCACACGGAGAACCTTGCGCGAGGCCACCGCGACGAGGCCACTTGACTTGAGGAGGAACTTCTTACAGGGCGCTGGCCTCACAGGGGCGATCTCGTACTCGGCCCCGGGGAAGCCGAGCTCCGCCAACCACTCAAAGAGGGCAGCGCAAACAAGCGGCTTGGCGTCGATCGTGGCGGCGTCCTGGGACGAGAGCTGGTGCACAGAGGAGGGCGCCATGCCGCGGGAAGCTGGAGCGTTCGGTCCGACAGGAACGGGAAACGCCACCGTTTACCCACTGTCCCGAGCGCAGGGAATGTGAGCGAGAGAAATCGTCAAGTTTCAAGAAGACTTGCCTGCCGCGGATTAGCGGTATCCACTCTGTTCCCAGGGGGAACATGCACCTTGAGCCAACATGGCTACGGACGGAGGAGGGAAGGAGGAGGAGGGGGAGGAGGAGGAGGGGGAGGAGGAGGAGGAGGAGGAGGAGGAGGAGGAGGAGGAGGAGGAGGAGGAGGAGGGGTGAGAAGGAGGAGGCACCCTCCCTTTCATCCTACCTCCTCATCGTCCTTCGTCCTGTTCCATATTCCTCCCTCCTCCCTCCTGTTTGTGCTCCTCCTGCCTCCAGCGCCCTCCTCCTCTCTCCTCCCCTCTCTCCCGCTGCCTCCTCTGGTGCCCCTTCATCCCATAAACACGCTGGCGCCACCGCAGCTTCCCGAGCATGTCCACTCTGTGGGTGTGCTCGTGGCCGCCGAGGATGCCTGAAGAATCGGGCGGCTGGGCCGGGAAAGTAAGAAGGAGGAGAGCGGAAAGCAGGAGGGAGGAGTAGAAGGAGGATGATACGAAGAAGGAAGATAGATGGGGACGGTCATGATGAGGAGGAGATGCTTGTGTTGTATGCTCTTTTGCGGCCTCGCAGAGAGCCCCCTGTCGCACCGGCTGGACTCGGACCTCGAGGTGCTGGTCCGTCAGGATGTGCCCAGCGACCGGTCCTGGCGTTGATCTGAAGGCACCCAAGGAGGGTGGGGTGACCCCGGCTCGACCCCTCCCCGGTCCATCTCATCTCGCTCCCCAGCAAGTGCCGCTGGTTTCACCTATCGCCTCGCCTGGCACACCCTGCCCCTGCAGAAAAGCAGTGCAGATAGGGAAAGACGAAGATCAGTCTGACATCTCCGAGAGCCGGCGAGTCTGGAGGCTTTCCACCCGAGCGATCCAGAACGCTCCGAGAGCGTTTCAAAACGCCCCTGGGCGACTCCTCCTCATCCTCGGCCTGCCTGACTCTTCCACGCCGAGAAGCCACTGGAGGCCCTCGGAACTCTTTCGTCGGGGAGGTTCAGTCTTGTCCTGCGGCCCAGTGTGATTGCACACTGCGTCTGTGCAGCGAAACCAAAAGCAGCCGAAACCAACGGACCGAAAGCCGCGCGGAACAACGCAGCGGCGCGGGAACAAACGGAACCGATCCGAACGCAGTCGCCTGCGAAGCTGCCGATGCCACATCGCCCCTCCTCCTCATCATTCGCCGCGACGGTGATACGCAATGGCGACCCCAGGCAAACTTATCATGTGCGGTGCGCAGCCTGCCAATCGTCGCATGCGCCACAGCAGCAGCGGCCTCTGCGCTTCGGCTGGCTCGCCCCCCCGCGCCCCCAGAAAGAATTGCACCAAAGGTTCACGGCGGCTGGGGGTCTAAGCTGGTTGGGACCCTAGAAAATCGGTAAGGAGAAGGCTGAAGCCGAATCCGCCCCAAATCGTTCCCCAGACCCCTCCCGGGGTCCATGTGGTGTAGGTTCTCACCCCAGATCCATTGTTCCTTCCCCCTGTGGCCCGATAACTGCTCCCAGAGGCTGGAAAAGGCAAAAGACCTTGAGGAACCGAGCGCCTCGAACCTGCCCGCCCTTCCTGGTGGCCAGAACCAATGCTGGGCCACCTCAGACCCCCAGCCGGCTACAACCTCGATCCCTTCCCCTGCGATCCGACGTCCTGAAAAGATACAACCTCGCAGGAAATCATGACCGGAGCCCTAGACCCTTTTTTTCTTCGGTATTTTCGGAGCCGGATCGATCAGTGACGGTCTCAGGGCCCGAAACTGGGCGCAAACGCCCACCGTGACAAAAATGCACCACGCGGATCTTAGGGCCCCTCGATCCTCAATGCCTCGACTCCCGATCCAGCCTTGGGGCACCCCGCCTGCCGAACAGCTCCAACACCATGGGGCCACTCCGGCGAAGAATTACTCGGGGCTCGGGTCGCAACTCGGGCCTCTGGCGGCCAGTCGGGGCGATCCGGGCACCCCCCCTCGATGACGCGCAGCACGTGTGCTTGCGCCAACGTTAAGGGACAACGATAAGGGTGGACTGGCACAAGGGGGGAAGCATCGACCTGGAATCGGCGATACATCGCCGGTAGATCGGCGAGACGCCCCCGATAGTGAATCCGCCCCTTCCTGGGCAGGTTGGGGCTATCGGGCCCCTATCGGCGATCAATGGGCGATTGAGGGTCGATGCATCCCCCCCTGTGCCCATCCCGCCCTGTCGTTGCCCCTGGCACGGGTGCTGTCCAACCGAAGCTCTCCCATACGACTCAGGCGGTGTGACGAGGGCCGACAGAAGCTGCGTTTTATCGGCGGACTCAGCGGCGCTGAACGACGGACACACACACACACACACACACACACACACACACACACACACACACACACACACACACACACACACACACACACACACACACACACACACACACTCCGGCCTGACACACGGCCTGAGGATCACCGACCCCGGCGCGCTCTCGGCGAGGCAGGCGCAGCTGCTGGAGCGCACCCCGTGGCGGGCGGCCGCCGCCTCCCGACAGCCTCTTGCGCCGAGGCCAGGGGCCGCCCCTGTGCGTTCCCAGAGCCCAGACACCCCCACGTCGTGAAAGGAACGCGGCAGGAGTTGTTTTTGCTAGATTCGGCCTCCTTAAGGGCCCTCGCCGAGCCCCCAGACCGTCGAACATCTTCCCAGGAGGATACAGCGTCCTGCAGGAATAGGTTGAGACCTCTGGACGGTGGCGCCGTGAAACAGATGTGACGTCGGGGGTCTTGGACACGGGGTCCCCAGAGCTCTCGACCTGGTCCCGCGCCGATCGAAGACATCCGCGCGGAGCTGCGACACTTGATGTTTGCGTATGCAGTTTGTAGCCGCTGGGACCCGCCTTTGGGCCTCTTGGGAGGTCGTTGGACACTCTTGGGAAATCTTGGGGCACTCTTGGGCCCTCTGGGGGCCTTCTTGGACGGAAGGAGGGAAAGGTTGAGAGTCAGGGGTGCGGGGCCCCAGGATGTCTCGACCCGTGCCCCAGGATCGGCTTTTCATCCTGCATCGTTTTTGAAGGGGGGCCTGGCGAGGGCCCCCGGAGGCCGAGAACGACGAAAACCCGCCGCATTGTATTTTTCAACATGCTGGGGGTCTGGGTAATCATTTCGCCGCTCCCCGCCCCCCCATCCCCCCCCTCCCCCCCCCCGCGGGAGCGGCGCCCATCAGGGGCCCCCTCGGCGCGGCGAAGCGCTGCAGCAGCTCCTGGCAGGATCAATCGGCATCGAATCGGAGAATCGGATCGAATCAGATTGGAAGTCGGATCGGGCCGCATCGGCGTAGGGTCGGAAACTACGGTCGGGAACGTTTGCTTATCGTGTCGCCGCGGCGGCCCCAGCAACACGCTATGCCTTGCAAGCGGATGGCGTGTCGCTCGAACGTGTTGCTCCGCTCCGCGTGGCGGGAGGATCGGAAAGGCTCGGGGCGTTGGCACCTGGGGACTGGGATTTGGACAGCGTGTCCTATCAACAACTCCTCGACCGAAATCGAATCGGCCGCGCCAGAATACAGAACAAAGCCATGCATCGGATCGACGGAGAATCGGAATCGAACCAAATCGGGCTCTGGAATCGATAACGATCAGAACGAAGTTCGAGCAGGGGCCGACCTTCTCGGCATCCCTATAGGCCTACCACGCCATGCTCTCAGAACAAAAGACTGCACTCATAACAGAACCAATGTTTTTGGGGCATGACGGCGATGTATTACAGCTGTAGGCCGACTCCGCCAGAGATGCTCCAAGAACAGTCCGTGCAAACCGCAGAAGGTCCGTGAAAACACTCCTCGGTGGGCCTCTGTAGACGAGCGCGCCCCACTATTTGCAAAGTACCTACACTGCAAATGGCCTGGATCCGCCGCGGGAGACTTACGATCCACTCGATACAGGAAGACATGCTGCTTGCGCTCGGACGCTTGCGAGTAGGCCCTCTGCGAGCAGCGGCACGCGCTCGGTGACTCCTTGGGCAACCCGCCTGGGGCCACGCTGCCGGCGCGGCGCGCGGGGCGCCGAGGCGCGGCGAGGATGCCCTGCGGGCGCCCGCTGCAAGGCGGCCTCCCGGCCGCGGGCCGCGCCCCCGCGCCGGCCCGCGCCGCCGCCCAGGCCGCGGTGGGCAGCCCAGCGGGCCAGGGCGCCTCGCCACCCTGCCCGAGCCACGGGCCCCGCCCGGGGCCCCACCGCCGGCGCAAGCGGCGGGGCGGCCTGGTCGCGGGGAGGGTGCCCCGCGGGCGCCGGCTGGAGCGGGTGGCCTCTTGCGGGCAAGGCCTGCGCGTCGCCGCGCCGTTTTCCTTGCTGCACGCGCCCAGGTGGGCGGAAGCGGCGCCCGCGACAAACCCACGGCAAAGCTCGTGTCCGAGGCGGAGCCTTGCCCTGGTGGCCGAGGCGCTCTCCCTGAGACATACAACGTCGCGCGCCTGCACAGACGGCGCGGCGACGCACCGAGGGCTTGAAGGCGGGGCGCGGCAAAGGTGCGGCGACATATCGAAGGCTTGAAGGTGGGGCGCGGCAAAGATGGGCTTGAAGGTGAGGGCTTGAAGGCGGGGCGCGGCAAATGTGCCCCATAATGGAGGCATATGATTAAAATAACATTTGAGGGCGGACGTTTTAACAAATAATTTCGCCGGCCTGGTTGGGCCCACATGAGGGGGGGGGGGGGGGGGCGGCCGCCCGCGGAGGCCCCCCCAGGGCGAACAAATAAGTTCGCCGGGGGACAATTATGGTTTGCCCCCCGGCCGTCTGGAAGGGCCGGGTGGGCGAGGGCAGGCAATTCGGAGCGGGGGGGGGTCGGCCCTCCCTCCTCCCTCCTCCTTCGCTCCTCCGTCCCCCCTCCTCCCTCGGCCATCTCCTCCTCCCTCAAATTCCTCCTCCCTCCGCCCTCCCTTCCTGTCTCCTCCTCCATCCCTCCTCCGCTCCTCCTCCCCCTCCCCCCCTCCCCCTCCCCCCCTCCTCCCCCCTCCCTCCTCCTCCCCCCCCTCTCTGCATCCCTCCCTCCCTCCTCCTCCCTCCCTCCCTCCTCCTCCTCCCCCCTGGTCTCTCCGCACTCCCTCCTTCTTCCCTCCCTCCTCCCTCCCTCCTTCTTCTCCCTCCCCTCTCCTTCTGCTCCCTCCCTTTTCTTCCCCCCTCCCTCCCTGTCGTAGTAATTCGTAGTCGTAGTCGTAGTCGTAGTAGTAGTCGTAGTAGTAGTATTGTGAGTAGTAGAGTATTGTAGTTGTAGTAGTAGTAGTAGTCGTATATTAGTAGTATTATAGTCTGTGTATCGTCTTATAGTAGTTTTTGTCAGTAATTAAGTAGTAGTAGTAGTAGTAGTAGTATGTCGTAGTAGTAGTAGTAGTAGTAGTTAGTAAGTAGTATAGTAGTGTAGTAAGTAGTAGTAGTAGTGTTAGTAGTAGTAGTAGTAGTAGTAGTAGTAGGTAAGTAGTAGTAGGAGTAGTAGTAGTAGTCGTAGAGTCGGGGCGGGGGCAGGGCGGATCAGGGGGGGGGGGGGGGGGGGGGAGAATTAAAACAAATGTTTTTTGCCTCCCTCCTTCCTCCCTCCTCGGAGGGAGGAAGGAGGGGGAGGGAGGAGGGAGGGAGGAGGGAGGGAGGAGGGCGTCCTTTCGGACGGCGTCCTCTCGGACGACGGTGGCCTCCCACCCCTCCCCCCTGTCCTGCCTTCCTTTTCCGTCTCGCTGCGCCCCTTCGGTGCTGCAGGGCAGGCAGGCAGCCAGCCCGGGCGTGCGCGCGCGCCCGGCCCTCGAGTGAGCCAGGCAGTCAGGCGCCCTCCCAGGCCGCGAGGTGCCTGCGCGCCTCCTGCAGGACGGCCCTCTCCAGCGTGCGCCTCTCCCTGCCCCCCGCGCCGCCCTGCCTCGCCTCCCTCTTCCTGCCAGGCTCGCCTCCGTAGTTCTTCTGGTCGCGTTCCAGCCTGGCCTCCGTCCTTGCTGCAGCGGACAGGAGGACGCTCGCCTTCGTCGCGGCGGGGGCCTCCGCCACCCTGGCCTCGTCTGGCTCGTCCTTGTCCTTGTCTGGCTCGTCTGGCTCGTCCTTCTCCTGCTTCTGCTTGCGCGCCTCCGCCTCCCCGGCGAGCCTCCAGGCGGCCTCCTCTGGCGGTTCCTCGAACACCGCAGTCAGGAAGCCCTCGACCTCCAGGGGCCCAGCGAGGAAGTTCCCCCTCGGGGAAGGAGGCGCCCAGGCGGCCATGCTGGGCGCGCAGGAGGCGCCGCTCGAGCCAGGCAGGCCTCTCTCGGCGACGGGGGCGCCGCTCGAGCCAACGCGGCAGCGGAGTAGGAGGTGTGATTAGGGGCAGGAGGACGGCCTCCTTGCTGCCCGCGTCCTCTCGGACGGCGGGCAGCAACGAGGGAAGGGGGGGGGTCCTTTCGGACCCTCGCGGCGGGCGTCCTCCCTCCCCCCTCCCTCCCTCCTCCCTCCTGCCTCCTCCATCCCTCCTCCCTCCCTCCTCCCTCCCTCTCCTCCCTCCCTCCCTCCGTCTCCTCCCTCCCTCCCTCCTCCCTCCCCTCCCTTCCCTCCCCCCTCCCTCCCGCCCTCCCTCCCTCCTCCCTCCTGCGTCCCTCCTTCCTCTTCCCTCCCTCCCCCCATCCTCCCTCTCTCCCTACTCCCCCTGCCGCCCCCTCCCCCCCCCCCCCCCCCCCCCTCCCCCCTCCCTCCTCGGAGGAGGAAGGAGGAAGGGAGGGAGGGGGGGGGAAAAAAAGGGGGGGAGGGAGGGAGAGGACGTCCTTTCGGACGCCGTTCCTCCTGCCGCGGCCGGTCGCGCCGCGCTTGCGTCGCCGCCGCCAGGCGCCGCAGTTTGCAGCTAGTCAGGCAGGCTCCGGGGCAGGGCGCGCCTTTGGCCTCGCAGTGAGGCAGGGCGTCCTCGCAGCCCGCGCAGCGCTGGCTGGTGGCGCTTCTCCCCCCTTGCCCTCCCTTCCGTCGTCTCCTCCTCCTCCTCCTCCTCCTCCTCCTCCTCCTCCTCCGCCCCTCCTCTCCTCTCCTACTCCTCCGCCTCCGTCTCCTCCCCTTCCTCCTCCTCTCTCCTCCTCCTCCTCCTCCTCCTCCTTGCCCTCCCTCCTTCGCCCCGTCCAGCAGTCCAGGTGGGCCCCCCCTCGGCGGCCCCCGTGCCCCTCCGCGGGCTCTCAGGCAGGCAATCAGCCGAGCATCGCCTCCTGCTCGGGCGCCGCCGCGGGCCCGCTGCTCGTCTCGCTGTCTTCCTCGTGCTTCTCCTGGCTGGGCTCCTTCTTCGTCTTGCTCTTGCTGAGCTCCTTCTCCAGGCAGAGCAAGGAAGTGGCGCAGGTCCAGGTCTGCGAGGGGGTCCCGCCCTCCCCTCTCTCTTCCTCCTCTCCTCCTCCTCCCCCTCTCCTGCACCCTCGTCCTCCTCCTCCTCCGCCTCCTCCTCCTCCTCCGCTTCCCCCTCCTCCTCCCTCTTTCGGCCCTCCTCCCCCTTCTCTCCCTTCTCCCCCTTTTCGCTGCTCCTCTCCCTCTCGGCCCTCCGCCTCGTCCTAGTGCCCTTTCTTCCGCCGCCTCCCCCCCCTCGTGGTCGCTGTCCTCCTCCCCCCCTGCTCCTGCTGGCCCTCCTCTGTTGCCTCCTTCCCTTTCCTCCGCCTCTTCCTCGTGGGGCCCTCTCCTTTATTAAATCCCCGCGGATCTCCAGGCAGGAGAGAGGGCAGAACACTCCCTTGCTGTGCTGCTTCTGGAGGCAGTGCTCGCAGTTCAGGCAGGCGCTCACGACGCCTTCTGGCGTCGTCGTCGTCGTCCTCCTCCTCCTCCTCCTCCTCCTCCTCCTCCTCCTCCTCCTGCTCGCCCTCCTCCTCGTCCGCCTTCCGCTCCCTCGTGCTCGCGCAGCCAGTCAGAGGGGTGGGCCAGCTCCCTCGACTCCCTGTGCTCGAGGAAAGCGAGCCGGCGGCTGACGCCCGAGGTCTGCGCCACGAGCTCAGTCAGGAGCCTCTTCCGCTGGGAACCTCCGCACTCGACCCAGTACATGCCCCGTCGGAACGAGGAATATCGACACCGACCAAAAAAAGGAAACACAAATGGTCCAGACAGGGGGGAGAGAGCTCCCTGGTGCTCTGCGCCCTCCCGCCTCTCCCCCACCCCCGCCCCCCGGACTGGTCAATTTGTTTTTTCATCGTGTCGCTTCCTCGTCCGCGAGCCTGCTGCAGCGCCACCCCGCTCCCTGGCTCGTACTCCACCAGCCAGCCGCGGTTGTCGAAGACATTCACGCCGTTGACAGTCAGCTCAG